CACTGATTCAAATTCTAAAGGCGTCGGATATTTCAATAATTTAGGTTTTCTTATAATTTTGTAGTTTCTTTTCCCTTTTTAATTTGTTTAATTTATAGACTATAGTATATGCTTTAGAAAAGAGCAAAACTATTGCTCTCTAACCTATTCGGTGCCCAACACTTCCGCTGCAACACATTCAGACCAAGACAACCAATTCTCTATACATGACTCCGGTATTAAAGCTGGTGAGGCGGGTGCGGGTGCTGTCAAATGTACTGAAGACTATTTACAATTAAACGGAATTCGCTTTTGTGGACATCAATTGAATGAAAATGCTTTACATCAGTCAAATGTTAGTGTTTCTGCAGCCGTCACAGATATCGGGTATTTATTTACCAATCGCTCAAATACTGTATTATATTGTTTTATTATAAATTTGTTGCACAGAACTGGTCCTTTTATTGCAAGATTTGTTTCCAATGATTTACTCAGTAGTCGTGGATTTAAATTAAATTATAAGCAAAATCCATGCATTACTGTATTTCAGTCAACACATAGCCCACAATCAACTACACCATCATCTTAACTTTGATGTAATTTAATATAATTATGTTATTTTTATCTAATAATTTACAGGTAAAAATTAATTTCTAAAATAGTGATCAAATTTGGACCAATATGGATTTGCTACAAACAAGATATCTCATTTATATATTTGGATCATAATTTAAGTTTTTAATCTTATAGCAATTTATTCAACATAATGTTAATTCAGATTTTAATAGAAATATTTAATATCATATTTTATTTTTTATGTTTTTATTAATTTATTCATAAACAAACATTGAAGTGTTAAATACTTGATGTTACTGAATAAGTTATGTATTTGATAATAACTAATATTATTTGTACCACAATATAAAATTACAACTAAACGTTTACTATAATTAGTAAGTTTATAAGTTTGTTTAATTCTCACTGATTATTAAAGTAAAAAAGTTATAAAGTTTAAGCACTGTAAACGTAAATCTAATAACTATTGAATTTCAAGTCACAGATATTCATGTTTTTACAGTTAGTCTACCGTAGATGTTACAATTTTAAGTACTGTAAGTTTAACTTATAATTACTTATAATTAGTCTGTAATTTATCTTTCAATTTAACTTTCACTGTTAATGTGTTTTCAATTAACTGTAATACATTTTATTGTAAAATTTGGTATAAAATACTGTATTAACAAAATACCACAAATGCAAGTATAAAAATGACAATAAATTACTATTAACTTTAATAATGTGTAAAATATAACTTAAAATAACCTAAAAACTAATTTATAAAACTTGCAAAATATGAAATGCAAATAAAACAGAGTTATAATTAAAGTAAGTTTTTATGTCAATCACTGGTCATTAGATTTGACCACAACTTTGTCGCCACTCATGTCTACGGTGTGATTGTCTTCATCCATGGGCTCGTCTTTCAAAGTCAAGTCCTTCTCGAGGCTCGCGTTTGACATTTTAGTCACATCTGAGTCACAGATTGTCACCTCATTTGCATCGACAGTGTCTTCTGCCTCGACAACTGGTGTCACTTCAGAGTATGGGTTATGCATTGGCGGCAGAAAAGAGGACATCAGATCAATGTCTGTCTCTCCAGCCATGTCTTCACTCTTGATGTGTTGAGTGTTGACCTGTGGTTCATAACTATCATTAAAGGCCACAAACTGGTGAACCGACTGCTCGTACGGCACTTGAGAGGCATAGTTGTGGTCAGTAGTGACGGGAACTATGAGTGCAGGTCTCGGCTGAGGAGGGAATCCAAAGCGGAAGAAATGGCCCCCAAATGGCTGATTATGTCCGTAACGATAGGCCTGTTGTGCAGCAAATCGAGCCCTCGGAGGGATTGGAGTCCCGAAGACCGGTCTTATCAGCGGATGAATAGGACTGTGAAAGACATACGATCTGTTGGTATGTAATAGAAA